CTGAAGGCAGTGATGACAAAGGGAACTGTCCTGGCTGCTGGATACGCTCCGCGCCCCTGCCAGGGCACCCCAGGTGGTAGGCGAGCTACGGCACCAGCCCTGGAGGAGGGGGGGGGCTGCCAGGAGAGAGAGGGTGCCTGCTTTCTCAATCCAAGGGTCCCTCTGTTCCTGGGGGCTCTTCATTTTGAGCAGAATGGAGGGGACAAGTGTCTGCTCTCTGGTTGCAGAGGTTCCCTGTTGACAGGAACCAGCAGTGTCCTTCTCCGGGGTCCCCCAGGCAGTGGCAAAACCACAGCTGTCACCGCAGCCTGCAGCCGCCTTGGGCTCCACCTGCTGAAGGTGAGGGTACCTGGTGAGGTGAAGCCCAGATTCTCCCTCTCCCCTCCCCCTTCTGGCCACCAGCCTGGCCCCGGCACCTGAGTAGGTCAGACATATTCCCATGATTCTCAGCTACAAAAAGATGCTTGCTTGCTTTTTTTTTTTTTAAGATTTATTTATTTATTTATTTATTTATTTATTTGAGAGAGAGAGAGAGAGAATGAGAGAGAGCATGAGAGGGAGGAGGGTCAGAGGGAGAAGCAGACTCCCCACCGAGCAGGGAGCCCGATGCGGGACTCGATCCCAGGACTCCAGGATCATGACCTGAGCCGAAGGCAGTCGCTTAACCAACCGAGCCACTCAGGCGCCCGCTTGCTTTTTTTTAAAGATTTTTGTTATTTACTTGACAGAGAGAGAGATAGTGAGAGCAGGAACACAAGCAGGGGGAGCGGGAGAGGGAGAAGCAGGCTTCCCACTGAGCAGGGAGCCCGACGCGGGGCTCGATCCCAGGACCCTGGGATCATGACCTGAGCCGAAGGCAGTCGCTTAACCAACTGAGCCACCCAGGTGCCCCCGAAGGCAGACTCTTAACGACTGAGCCACCCAGGCACCCCAAAAAGATGCTTTCAAAAAGGAAGGGGTTTGAAGACTGTGATGGGCAGTCCAGGGAGTGAGGTTGGGGTAAAGAGGAGGTAGGACTTGGCTGGTGCTACTGCTCCGCATCTCCGCCCTCTGAAACAAGGTGGCCTGCATCTTCTTCTGGCTCCTGTCCCCGCCCTTCCTGCCTCCGTCACGCCTGCCCTTGGCTCACAGACCGCTGGGGCCCCATCCCCAGGTGCCCTGCTCTAGCCTCTGTGCAGACAGCAGCGGGGCTGTGGAGACAAAGCTGCAGGCCATCTTCTCCCGGGCCCGGCGCTGCCGGCCTGTGGTTCTGTTGCTGACAGCCGTGGACCTTCTGGGCCGGGACCGTGACGGGCTAGGTGAGGACGCTCGTGTGGTGGCCATGCTGCGTCACCTCCTCCTCGATGAGGACCCCCTCACCAGGTATTGTACAGAGCTGAGTCTGTAAAAGGGCAGGGCCCCCCCCCCCACCTCTCTGCAGCCTCTTGTCCTCTCTTCCTCAATGGCTTCTCAGACACCTCGCCCGTTTGGCTGTCCTCCAGACAGTCCTGAGCTGAGGAGCTTGGGGTATCCAGAGGGGCAGGGGTACGGTCCCTAGTATTTCATGGGGAGCACTATGTCAGAGAAAAAGCACAGCCTCTACCCTCAGTGAGCTCCCTGTGTATGGGGGGGGGGGACACAGGTCCCCCTCTCGAGGTGTGCCCATGGAGCCCCAGGCAGGAAGCCTTGGGGCGCTCACCTCCCTCTCCCACGCCCGCACCCCCCCGCCTCCCTGCCTCGTGACAAGACAGCGCTCAGGGGCCACCAGCTGCACTCTGGCCCTCAGCGCCCCTCTGTGTCTGCAGCTGCCCGCCCCTGATGGTCGTGGCCACCACGAGCCAGGCCCGGGACGTGCCCGCCGACGTGCAGACAGCGTTCCCTCATGAGCTGGAGGTGCCCGTGTTGTCAGAGGGGCAGCGGCTCAGTGTCCTGCGGGCCCTCACCGCCCACCTCCCCCTGGGCCAAGAGGTGAACCTGACGCAGCTGGCACGGCGGTGTGCAGTGAGTGCCCAGGCAGGCCCCCCCCGCCCCCCCAGTCCCGCTGCCCTGCCCGTGGGGGCTTCAACCCTGGGCTGCGGCTCCCGCTGGGGGACCGGCCCCCTGAGGGCCCCTGCCTACTGTGCCCTGCTCACGCTCCCTCTGCTGTGCTTCCCCAGGGCTTCGTCGTGGGGGATCTCTATGCCCTTTTGACCCACAGCAGCCGGGCAGCCTGCACCAGGGTCAGGAACTCGGGGTGAGGAAACTGGGCGCAGGAGGGAAAAGGAGGCAAGAGGAAATACGGCCGGGGGAGGGGGGGGGGCTGGGGGGGGAGGAGGAACCAGGAGCCTGATGGGGAGGAGGCTTTTGGTGAGGTCCTCCAGAGGTCCTCCTGGGTTTGTCTTTGCAGGCTGGCAGGTGGCTTGAGTGAGGAGGAGGAGGGGGAGCTCTGTGCTGCTGGCTTTCCTCTCCTGGCTGAGGATTTCGGGCAGGCACTTGAGCAGATGCAGACAGCCCACTCCCAGGCCGTTGGAGCTCCCAAGGTAGAGACTCCAGGTCCTCCGAGGTAGGACAGGAGCTCTCTCCACCACCCTGCCCCCAACCGCACACTGTCCATCTCCTAGATCCCCTCAGTGTCCTGGCATGATGTGGGCGGGCTGCAGGAGGTGAAGAAGGAGATTCTGGAGACCATTCAGCTCCCTCTAGAGCACCCCGAGCTGCTGAGCCTGGGCCTCAGGCGCTCGGGTCTTCTGCTTCATGGTCCCCCCGGCACGGGCAAGACCCTCCTGGCCAAGGCAGTAGCCACTGAATGCTGCCTCACCTTCCTCAGGTGGCGAGGGGGTGTGGAAGGGGTGGTGGGCAGACTGGGAGCTGCAGCAGGCTGGGGAGCAAGAGGGGCTGGCGGACAGGTCAGTTGTGTGTTTACGCATCTGACGAGTCTCATCCTCTCCCTCAGCGTGAAGGGGCCTGAGCTCATCAACATGTACGTGGGTCAGAGTGAGGAGAACGTGCGAGAAGGTGAGTGAGGAGGGGTCAGGCTTCTAGCCCTTGCCAAACCCTTGGGTCCTTGTGCTGCCCCCCACCCCCACCCCATCCAGCGGCTCCTGGTCTTTCCACCATCTCGTGGTCCTTTCTACAGAGGACCTGCCCAGGGCGGCCTAGTGCCTGGAGTGGTGAATTTTCACTCCTGGCTTCCCCTCCTCCATCGCCTGACTTCAGATCCCCCCTGAGCTCCCCCCTCCTCTGGGTCCCTTTCTCTCCTCAGTGTTTGCCAGGGCCAGGGCGGCGGCTCCGTGCATTATCTTCTTTGATGAGCTGGACTCGCTGGCCCCAAGCCGGGGGCGAAGCGGAGATTCTGGAGGTGTGATGGACAGGTGGGGGTCTGAGCCAGATTGGAGTCTGGGGTCCGAGATGAAGGGATGGGAGACAGGTTGCAGCAGTTTTCAGAGCCCAAAGAGTTCCTGCCATTCCAGTTCCGAAACAGTATAACAGCAAAAGGGGGGGGGCCATGGAGTCAGCTGGGGGACACCGAGGAGGACAGGGGGGCCTGCGTGGAGGGGGCTACGGGGCACAACCGCACGAGTGGCCCCGTGGAGAAGGCCTGCACGGAGGGGCCCCACAGGTAGGGCAGAGGCTGGGGAAGGGCCAAGGACTCTCTGGCCTCCATGTCCGCACGTGCAGGGTGGTGTCTCAGCTCCTGGCGGAGCTGGACGGGCTTCACAGCACTCAGGATGTGTTTGTGGTTGGAGCCACCAACAGACCAGACCTCCTGGACCCTGCCCTTCTGCGGCCTGGCAGGTGCGCACCCCACACCTCTCATCTCTGCTGCGCCCGTCTGGGCCTGGCCCTTGACCCCCGTCCTGTGCCTCCTCCACCCTCGTGCTGGGCTTCCTGACACTTACGCCTGCCTGTTTCCCTCAAGATTTGACAAGCTGGTGTTTGTGGGGGTGAGCGAGGACCGCGCCTCCCAGCTACGGGTTCTAAGTGCCATCACACGCAAGTATGCCCTGTTAGGGGGAGACTCCCAGGGGGCTTGGGCCTTGGGATGGTTAGGGGGATAAATGCAATGTGCAGAATAAGCTGGTCGGGGATGCCTTTTGACAGACTAAACCGTTTCTTCCCTCTATCTGCGCAACAGATTCAAGCTAGAGCCCTCTGTGAGCTTGGTGAACGTGCTGGATCGCTGCCCTCCCCAGCTGACGGGTGCGGACCTCTATTCCCTCTGCTCCGACGCCATGACAGCTGCCCTCAAACGCAGGCTCCGGGACCTGGAGGAAGGTGAGCCGTCTGCCAGCCCCGGAGGTCACCCAGAAAGCTAACGGGAGCCAGGCCGGCTCCTGGATATCAGAGGAGGGACTGTTGACATTTGGGGGCCTCTGGGCAAGCAGGTGCCCACCCCAGGGCTCTCCCCTCCTGGGACGTAGACCACAGCCTCTGTTGGCCCCTTGTCACCCCGCAGGGCTGGAGCCTGGGAGCTCAGCACTGCTGCTCACCATGGAGGACCTGCTGCAGGCCGCTGCCCGGCTGCAGCCCTCGGTCAGCGAGCAGGAGCTTCTGCGGTACCGGCGCATCCAGCGCAAGCTCGCCGCCCGCTAGGGGCCTCCCGCCATCCAGGACCCTGCCCGCCAGGGCTGGAGGTGCTTAGGTTATCCCCACAGACGCCCAGCAAAGGGCTCCCTCTCTGCATACTGCGGTTGCACCCAAAGGCCGCCTACCTCCAGGAGACCCCCTCGGTGCCGAGTGGCCCCGCAAGAGCTCAGAGGGCGTCATCCCCTGCCTACCTGTTTGTCCTTCCAGGCCAGCTCCAGCTCCAAGACTAAAGGCCCTCTGCTCAGGAGGAGGAGCTTGGGCCTGGACGCAGCTCTGGGGATTGCTTCCCCGCCACCCCCCAGTCTTGGCTGAAAATAAAGTGTATGCTGCCCCCTGCTGGTTGTGGTCTGAAAGACTGGCGCGTGGAAGAGCAAGCCTGTGGAAGGAGTAAGCCCCAGGGGAGGGCACCTCGGGGAGCTCGAGCCTTTTGACAGAAACACAAGGCATGCGGGGACTGAAAAAGGCAGACTGTATTGCTCACACTTCCATTTGCCTGAACCCAAATCCCTGCACCCGCAGCAGCGGTCTGCCCCTCCCCACACCCCAGGATCTGCGCTGGGGGCTGGCCTTGATATGGGGCCACTAGTCCCCACCTCCCCAGCCAGATCTGGCAGTGCCTGGGCAGAGGGTTGTAGGAGTTGAGGCCACGCTCAGCGCTCAGTCCGTCCTCTTGAGCACATGGATGAAATAGCAAGGAATGTAGGCCTGGCCCGGCTTGTAAGGCTTGAAGTCACCCAGGACGCTGTGCTGGCACTTGCCCCCGAAGGCTGCTCGGAGCAACTCCGTGAAGGAAGCCAAACAGTGTGGGTAGTAGGAGAGCCGGAATTTACTGCAACAGAGCCCCCAGGCAGCCATGAGGACTGGTGGCCTCAACACCACCCCCCTTCACCCCCTGCTGAGCCCAGTGGGTACCTCAAGCCGGGAGAACCATCCTGGCCAGCCCCCGGCACCTGCACTGTATAGTCCAGGGTCACCATGTGGGCTTTGTTGTTCACCGTCAGCACGGATGTCGTGATGTCCTTGGTCAAGTCACTCTGTAGGCGGTGGTGCAGGCTGCATTAGCCTCTGCAACCACCGTGCAGCCTGGACCCTGGGATCACATCCCCCATTCTGGGCCTCCCACCCCCAGGGGCCCCACCTTATAGTAGATGTTCTTCCCTGGGGGTGCACAGCCTGTGCTGAGGATGTGGTCGTAGTTGCGATGATCGATGACCAGCAGGCCCCCCGACCGCACCATGCTTGCGATGTTCTTCAGTGCCAGCCGGTGCTCGCTCTGGTCTCCTGAGCTCCGGGCAGGGGCAGAGAGGCTGCGTCTGCTGAGGGCCCCGAGCTCCAGCCTCCCTCCCATCTTTCTCCTCCCCGGGGATACCGATGCCAAGGCAGAGAGGAGCAGAAAACGGGAGTCTGCTCTGGCAGGAGAGCAGGCACCTAGGGTTCTGTGGAAAGAAGTACAGCTCAAAGCAAGGGCCAGGCTCCAGGCCACACCCTGTCTCACCTTTGCAGTCTGGCAAGTGGGCAAAACTGTTTCCAAGGCAGATGACAGCATCGAAGCCACCCCCCGGTGGCTGGGGCACATCTTTGTCCAGAGTCATCCAGTTGGCTTCTTCGATGACTGGGACCAGGAGGGGGAAGAGGGGTCAGGGTGGCACCACGGTCCCAGCGGTACCCACCTACACCAAGTGCAGCCCTGCCTCAGTTTCCCCTTAAAGACACATGGGGACTCCCCATCCAGTTAGGGGGAGGGGATTATTACGGATATGGAGGGTGAAGGGAAGGAGGGGTCAAGGGGGGAGGAAGCTGTGATTGAGAAGAAAGGCTCTGCGCTTACCGGTTTTTATTTGGGAGAAGGGAGAAGACATTACAAACATCATTAAAACTAGCCGCGCAGGGCGCCTGGGTGGCTCAGTCGGTTAAGTGTCTGCCTTCGGCTCAGGTCATGATCCCAGGGTCCTGGGATCGAGTCCCGCATCGGGCTCCCTGCTCTGTGGGGAGCCTGCATCTCCCTCTCCTCCCCATTTGTGCTCTCTCTCTCTCACTATCTCTGTCTCTCTCAAATAAATTTAAAACAGAACAAAACAAAACAAAAAACTAGCCGCGCATTACCAGATACCTCATTCTGGTGCCTAAGCCTCCCTTTCCAGGGAAAGTAATTTTGCTGTTCCCTTAAGGAAAACAAGCACCCCCGCACAGGAGCTAAAGGAGCCCAGGGCAGAGAGCACCGCGGCCGGGGGTGCTGGGCAGGGAGGGCCTGACTGGACCTGCGTACCCCACTTGTCGAAGGCTGGCTCGTGCCGCCGGTTCCAGCGCTCTTTAAGCGCGTACTTGAGCATCTTGTCACTGGCGTCCACACTGGTCACGCTGAAGCCCTCTTCCACCAGCATGATGGAATCCACCCTGGGCAGGGCCGGAGGGGAGAGGCAGAGAGGGGCAGTCAGGGGGCCTGGGAAGGCCAGGAAGAGGCCCTGTGCTGGACACTTGCGTCTTGAGTCCATTCCTCTTCTTCCTCGCCCCGGGCCCTCTCCACTGACCTCAAATGAGGTTCCTCACTCGGTGCCTTACCACCAGGTAGCAACTTTTTGGTTTTGTTTCTTTAGCACCCGTTCGGAGCCAGGCCCTCTACCAGTGCGCACTAATCTCACGGCAGCGCTGTGAGTAAGCGGTGTCAGCCCCGCTTGGGGAGATGGGGCAGCCTGCGGCTCCCGGGATTGAGGAAGCCGTGCTCGGGCAGGCGGTATAGCCCGACCCTAACCAGCGCGGGTCTGAATCTCGTCTCCGCTGGTAGAGGGCCTCCGCTCCTCTGAAGCAGGTTTTCTCACAGCCGTAAGTGGGACATCACTCCTTACCTCATGAGGTTTCGTAAGGACCTTAAAAATGGACGTAGAGGCAGCTCCTGGCACAGCGCGTGGCGCGGACAAATATTGAACGAATGTTAACTGTTAACACTGCCCAAGGCCATCACTGGGGAGCAGTGCCAGAGCCGGGGCCCCTGAGAGCTTCCGTCGGTCCGGCCCCAAAGCCCGGCCGCCGCGTCGCCCCGAGGAGCCGGCCGTCCCCACCCTGCGGTGCCCACAGCCCCCGCGCACCCTGGGTGCTCTCGGCCCCGCCTCCCGCCCGCTCCACCCCGCGGCCCGCCCCGCCCCCCCGCCGGCCGCCGGTCGCGGGTGGAGGCTGCCCCCCCGCCGCCCCCCGCCGCCCCCCGCCCCGGCTCACCCGGTGCCGCAGGCCACGTCGAGCACCCGCTGGCAGCCGTGCTGGCGCAGCAGCCCGAGCAGCCAGGCCTTGTACTCGGCCGTGCGGCTGCGGGTGTCCCCGATGTAGAGCTGCCACACGCGCGCCGCCTCTCCGTCCGCGTACTGGTCCGGGAGCCCCTCGGCCGCCACCCCCAGGGAGCGGGTGCGGTACACGCTGTCCACCATCCTGCGGCGCGCCTGGCTCGGCGGCCGGCCCGCTCCGCATTTATAGAGTACGGCTCTGGCCGAGGCCGGCCGCCCCCCCGCCCAATGGCAGGTGAGCACGGGGACACGCCCCTGCTGGGCTCGCGGCCTCGGGGAGGGCGCTGCGGGCAATCGGAACCAGCCCTTCTCGCCGGCGGGAAGAGCCAGCCCTCTGGGCGACCCCCTGGCGGGAAAGGGCCCTCCCAGCCCCCCACCGCCTTCAGCCCGGCCTCAGGAGGACCGGGGAGGGGCCAGTAAGATCGCCCACTCCTCCGCCACCTAAGCTGGATAGGAAGGAAAGAAAACTTCCCAGTCCACTCCGAGCTCAGCGCCTCGGACTGGACCGTCCCCAGCGAAGGAAGGTATCAGCATATCTAAAGAAGGATTGTCCGCTGCAGGAGGCCCTCGTCAGCCAGGAAAGGGAGGAAGAGGGAGTATCTGGGGATAATGCTAGTCTGGCCACCCAAGTCCAGGAGCAGTTCTGGCCCAGCGAATCATCTGCCCACCTGAAGGCAGGTGCTCCCCTGTCGTGGAGGTAACGCATGAAGCTTTTCCCTGAGTCGGCTAAGGCGAGGTCGACCCTTTCCTCCCAACTCTTCACCGACAGGCAGGCTGCTAAGCACTATTTACTGTTTGAGGCCCCTGTTTGAAACCCAGCATCACCACAAAAATTTTTTTAAAATAATGAATAAATAAACATAAAAATAAAAATCTCACTTAAAAAAAAAAGATTTTATTTTTGAGTGATCTCTGCACCAAACATGGGGCTGGAACTCACAATCCTGAGATCAAGAATTGCATGCTTTGGGGCGCCTGGGTGGCTCAGTCGTTAAGTGTCTGCCTTCAGCTCAAGTCATAATCCCAGGGCCCTGGGATGAGACCCGCATCAGGCTCCCTGCTCAGTGGGGAGTCTGCTTCTCCCTCTCCCTCTGCTTGTGCGCGCTCTCTCTCCTTCTCTGTCAAATAAATAAATAAAATCTTAAAAAAAAAAAAAAAGAAAAGAATCACATGCTTTACTGTGACTGAGCCAGCCAGGTGCCTCTAAAAGTTTGTTATTTTTAAAATTTTGGGGGGGGGAGGGACAGGGGGAGAGGGAGAGAGAGTCTCAAGGAGGCTCCATGCCCAGTGCAGAGCCAGACACCGCCTCCATCTCACAGCCCCTGAGATCATGTCCCCAGCCAAAATCATGAGTTGGGCACTTAACCGACTGAGCCACCCAGGCACCCCTAAAAGTTTTAGGGTTTTTTTTTTTTTAAGATTTTATCTATTCACTTATTTTAGAGAGAGGCAACGTGACAGAGTGCAGGAGGGGGTGGTGGGTGGAGAACAAGAGAGGAGGGAGAGGGACAAGCTGACTCCTCACTGAGCACAGAACCCCACCTGGGGCTTGGCTTGAGCTCACCACCCTGAGATCATGACCTGAGCCAAAATCAAGAGTTGGCCGCGGGGCACCTGGGTGGCTCAGTCAGTTAAGCGGCTGCCTTCGGCTCAGGTCATGATCCCAGGGTCCTGGGATCGAGCCCCACATGGGGCTCCCTGCTCCGCGGGAAGCCTGCTTCTCCCTCTGCCACTCCCCCTGCTTGTGTTCCCTCTCTCGCTGTCTCTCTCTCTGTCAAATAAATAAAATCTTTAAAAGAAAAAAAAAAAAAGAGTTGGCCGCTTACCTGTCTGAGCCAGCCACGCACCCTAAAAGTTTTAATTTTGTAAACACTATCTGCTTTCGACAGAGGTACCCACAGGGTGGGAAATCCAGGCTTAGGGGTGGAAATGCTTGGTGCCCTTGCTATTATATTGCTCACTGTCGCTTCATAAATTGGCCCCTTGGTTTGGTTAGTGTACCTCTACCCTTCTTCCCCAAAGCAGAAGGTCTCTTCCTAGGACAAGATCCTGGACTGAGATGGATTCAGCAATATGATGCCCCTCAGTGAACCCCAAGACAGCAAGAACGGCCTTCCCCACCTATCTTTGTTCTTCTGGCTTCAGAAGGAGCTAAGTATGAAATGTAGAATGAAGAAGGCTCCCCTCCGCTCACCCTTTCATTATCTGTAGAATCTAGGAGCGGGAGGAACCCCAAAGATTATATAATCATTCTTAACTTTCTATTTTTAGCACACAGACTGCCTCAAATGGGCTTGCCTTGCCCAAGTAATGGAGTCTTGTGCTCATGCTGACCCTATAGACAGGTCTTTGGCAACAGGCTGAGAAGGGCACAGTACCGGGAATTACAAATATATAGTTAAGTGGCCTAGGGCAATTTATTATTTTTTCCCTTACTACTGCTTTCTTTTCCACTTACTTTTTAAAAAGATTTTATTTATATATATTTTTTTCTTATTTTTTTAGAGAGAGAGGGAGGGGGGAGGGGCAGAGAGGCAGAGGGAGAGGGAGAATCCCAAGCAGGCTTCACACCCAGCGTGGAGTCCCATGCGGGGCTCTATCTCACAACCGTGAGATCATGACCTGAGCAGAAATTAAGAGTCGGAGGCTTAACTGACTGAGCCACCCAAGCGCCCCCTGTCCTCAATATTTAAAGACAAGACAATCCCCAGGAACTTTTTCTTGTCCAGAAATGATTTCAGCTCTTATTTTTCTCTTACCCGTTTTAAAACAAAGTTGTTTGAATTTTTGGCATAATGCACACCTCTGAATGTTTGTATAACATTTTTGTGATTGGTTTGCAGCCTTTAGGCGATAAAGGCCATACTCTCCATACTGATAAGGAATTTTATTTAAATATTTGGCTTTTATTTAAATATTGATGCTTACAATTTTTGAGAAACATATAATTTTACCCACAGAGCCATAATATGATTTTTTAAAATAAAATGAATACTGGTGGTAAATTTGGATTAAAAAAAAATAAAGGTTTTGAGTAGCTTGTAAGTGTACTTTCCATTTGAAAGACAAGATTTTTGTTCTGAAGTTAATAATTATTTGATTCCTTTCTCATCCAGAGGCATTTTAAAAAATGTCAACATCATAACACACATGACATTTCATGGGCCTTTTTTCTTTCTTTCTTTCTTTTCTTTTTTAACTTTTAACCATCAAAAGCATGTTTTCTTCTCTTGACCTTAAATTATTTGGCCTTAATCATGCTTTCAATGGCTACATTGAGTAGATGTGTTGTGACTTGTTTAATCATTCCCTAAGTTCTGAACATTTAAAACGCTCCCACAATTTTTCAAGAGAGTGAACACTTGGATAATTATAATCAAATCATTTTTCAAATGAAATTTTTCTATTAATACTGTCACCCAAATCAAATGTTTCAATTCTTCTCTACATGAAGATGTTATTCCTTGATATCTTACAAGGTAGAACTATTATTATCTAAGTGCTGTAATCTTCAATTGCCACCAAAATGGACCAAATAATTGCAGTTCTTCATCCCTAAATTGTCCACGCCCTCTGCCCACTGATACATACGGAAATTGCCTTTTGTTTTACTTGTTAGTTCGGTGAATTTTAGAGAAACTAAATGTGAGGCCCTGGGCTGTGGAAGAGAAGATCACAGAATCTAAATCAATTTACAGTTTGACTTAACTGAAAATAAGAATAGGAGACATTTTAAAAATGCAGTACTTGGGGCACCTGGGTGGCTCAGTTGTTAAGCATCTGCCTTCGGCTCAGGTCATGGTCCCAGGATCCTGGGATCGAGCCCCGCATCGAGCCCTGCATCGAGCCCCGCATCGGGCTCCCTACTCGGCGGGAAGCCTGCTTCTCCCTCTCCCACTCCCCCTGCTTGTGTTCCCTCTCTCGCTGTGTCTCTCTCTGTCAAATAAATAAATAAATATTTTTTAAAAAAATAAATAAATTGGGGCGCCTGTGGCTCAGTTGTTAAGCGTCTGCTTTCGGCTCAGGTCGTGATCCCAGGGTCCTGGGATCGAGCCCTGCATCGGGCTCCTTGCTCCGCGGGAAGCCTGCTTCTCCCTCTGCCACTCCCCCTGCTTGTGTTCCCTCTCTCGCTGTCTCTCTCTCTGTCAAATAAATAAAATCTTAAAATATAAAATAAAATAAAATAAATAAATAAAATGCAGTACTTACTTGGGATTAGTTGAAAAGGGTAAATTCTTCATCCCGAAATATGTGATGTTTGCCAAAAGACCTTAGCTTAGGAATATGGCTGCAGCTGGACAAACTCCCAGGCTATTCCAATTTGAAGACACATTAAAATCCTAGAATTGTGAAGTATGTATGTACAGTAACCACAAGTGAAGGACATCCTGTTTTTGTTTAGATTCAGAAGAGGTAGAAATTAGTTTTTCAGAGGACGGACACCAATTTCCAAACTCTAGGCCAAAGCTGCTGGAAGAAATCTCTTGTCTGCTGTCTCCCCAGATTGAACACTGGGACACTGGGACACTGGGGGAGGGGAGGGAAGCCACCCACCCACATGGACTCTGCTAGCAGATATATCACAATGGATTCCTTTTTTGGACTTTTTAATATACCATATAAGACTTAATTTGCTTTAATAAAGTCCTGTTAAGTGAGTGTAAAATTGGTCCCTACATTAGTGGATTGCAACACTAATTAAAGGTGGCTCCTTTAAGTTTAGTGCACCTACAAGAATCCACCACTGTGTAAGAAGAGTGGTTTTCTTTGACCATTTCACACTTTGTTACAAGTAGTTTTAAGGTGTGCTAATGTCCAGTAAGATCTCTTCAGTGTATACCAATCTGCTCACTGAGCTGTTCTTCCACATAAAAATGATACACTAGGGGCGCCTGGGTGGCTCAGTCGTTAAGCGTCTGCCTTCGGCTCAAGTCATGGTCCCAGGGTCCTGGGATCAAGCCCCGCATCGGGCTCCCTGCTCCGCGGGAAGCCTGCTTCTCCCTCTCCCACTCCCCCTGCTTGTGCTCCCTCTCTCGCTGGGTCTCTCTCTGTCAAAATAAAATAAAATAAAATAAAATCTTAAAAAAAAAAAATGATACACTAGTTGAGCCCTGGTAACAGGCTAAGTAAGCATTGCTTGTTGAACCAGCTGACTTTGCACATGGCATCCTGTCTTTTTTTTTTTAGATTTCATTTATTTATTTGACAGAGAGAGACACAGTGAGACAGAGAGAACACAGCAGGGGGAGTGGGAGAGGGAGAAGCAGGCTTCCCACGGAGCAGGGAGCCCGATGTGGGGCTCAATCCCAGGACCCCGGGATCATGACCTGAGCCGAAGGCAGACGCTTAACGACTGAGCCACCCAGGCACCTCTTTTTTTTCATTTTTTTTTTAAGTTTTTTTTTTTTTTTTAATCTCAGAGAGAATGGGAGACAGAGAGCATGAGAGGGGGAGGATCAGAGGGAGAAGCAGACTCCCCGCTGAGCAGGGAGCCCGATGTGGGACTCGATCCCGGTACTCCAGGATCATGACCTGAGCCGAAGGCAGTCGCTCAACCAACTGAGCCACCCAGGCGCCCCTTTTCGTTTTTTAAGTAGGCTCCATGCCCAGTGTGGAGCCCAACGCGGGGCTTGTACTCATGATCCTGAGATCAAGACCTGAGCTGAGATCAAGAGTCAGATGCTTAACAAATTGAGCCACCCAGGTGCCCCTTGAGGATCTTTTTTCGTTTTGTTCTCCTTTTTGAACAGAGAACCTTTTATATATTTATATATTTTAGGGGGGTTGGTGGTGATAGATGTTACCACCCCTGGAACTGGTGACTGGCTCAACCTGCTTCTCTCCCCTCTCAATGTGCAACAACACCTCCTTATTAAGAATCATAATCATTTTCATGGAAGTTTAAGTTCTATTGGCCGGTACCACCTTAGTAGATGGAGAATATAATTTTAAAGAATGAATAAATTTGGCTTCCTCTTCAAAAAACTGTAAACAGGAGCCAGCCCTTGAGGGGCCCTTAGCTGGCTCAGTCGGCAGAGCATGTGACTCTTGATCTTGGGGTTGTAAGTTTGAGCCCCACGTTGGGTGTAGAGGTTACTTAAAAACAACAACAAAAACGCCAGCCCTTGAAAGCAGCATAAGGGTCAAGCTGGCTTTCAGTTATACACAACTATAAACTCTGAAAAGGGAGAAAGGTTTGAAAATTATCTCCCTCCTAATTGCATTCCCCACGTTGAACTCTGAAGACTGTAGCTGTCTGCCTTCTAGAAGAGAGCCATGGAAGGGGGGGATGGTGCCCAAGCCGGGCCATAGCTGCAGGGTGCTCTGGCATCATGCCTCTGCCCCAAGACACTGAAGCCGGTCCACCGGGGCTCATAACCTGCATGGGCCACTTACAGAATGTGTGACCTTCGAAAGTTACTTAACCTTCCTGTGCTTCATTCATTCAGCAGCTACTTATTAAGCAGCTACTCTGTGCCAGGTACTAGGCTAAGTGCTGGGGATAGAACAGTGAACCAAACAGACAAAAGTCCCTGTTCTTTTTGTGGTGGGAGATATGTCTGTGGGGGAGGGGTGCGCTGGTAATCATGTCTTTCAGGAGCTGGGTGCTGGTGACTTAGGTGTTCAGTTTGTAAAAAACCAGTGAGCTGTCCACTTAGGTATGTTTTCCTGTATGTGTGTTTTACTTCAGTAGTTTTTAGGAATCCCCGGGCTTGAGGCCAGAGCCGTGGTCAATCAGTACATAAAGCACGGTGAGCTGGGCTTGTCACACGAGACTCCAACTAGTGGCTGCGGGACGTCTGGGTGGCTCAGTTGTTAAGTGTCTGCCTTCGGCTCAGGTCGTGATCCCAGGGTCCTGGGATCGAGCCCCGCATCGGGCTCCCCGCTCTGCGGGAAGCCTGCTTCTCCCTCTCCCACTCCCCCTGCTTGTGTTCCCTCTCTCACTGTGTCTTTCTCTGTCAAATAAATAAATAAAATGTTTAAAAAAAATAAAGAAATAAAATAAAATAAAAAACAAAAACTAGCGGCTGCTGTTATTGCCGTGAAACTTACTAGAGCCATCAGGGGAAGCTCAAGAGGGATTCCGCTGCCTCTGCTTTGAGGCCCAGCCCACGGAGCCCTCCTCTAAACCAGTCAGGTGCAGACCGTGCATCTGTCGCAAAAAACAGGCTTTAAGACAAAAAAAACAAGAAAAGGCATTTTGCTCTCACTCGTGAACTAAAGGGCCGCACAGCCGCTGGGGACATGTGGCTGGCTGTGTGCTGAGCCAAGGTTCCGGATCTAAGGGACTGCCATTCCTATCGCAAACCACACGGGCTCGTCCATTCGTTATGCTCTGGCGGCCAAGTGTCTTATTCTCACAAAACTTATGTTAAATAAATGACTTTCTGACAGATGGAAGTCAAAGGTGTGAAGAGTACCATCTTCTAACTTGCAAAAAAGATGCTGCATGGGGATAGCATCCAGGAACTGGGAAATAGAGGAAACCGCTTTCTAGAAATTGCCCTCTAAAATGAATACAGAGGAGCGCCTGGGTGGCTCAGTCAGTTAAGCTTTCCACTCGGGTCATGATCTCGGGGTTGTGGGATCGAGCCCCACGTTGGGCTCCACGCTGGGTGTGGAGCCTGCTTAAGATTCTCTCTCTCCCCCTCTGCCCCTCCCCACCCTCTCTAAAAATAAAATAAAAAATAAATAAAATGAATACAGAGTCCCTGTGCAGCCACCCGAGACCACAGCCCCAACCCCTGAGATTTCACTATCAGGGCCTGTGTAAGAAACGGGCTTTCTGGTTGGTCCATGAGCCTTTGCGGTTCCGGACGATGCAAGTTTCTGGCAGAGACAGATCCTCTCTGAAGTTCTGACTAGTTGTGTCTCTAAGGACAAGACCCTGACCTTGACTTCATGGAGGTCCTGCCCCCTCTTAGCACAACACCCTGTTTCCCCTGCTGTGGTGGGCTCCAGCCGGCCTCATCTTAAGGACCATGAGAGCTTTGTTAAACAAGCAGACTCCTAGGTCCCCAAGCCAGCAGATCGAGGTGGGGCCCAGACATCTAACAGGCATTCCATATGACACTCATGTTCAAGTGAGTTTAAGAAACCCTGTTCTAACAGGATTTCTACTAAAGGGACTAAAATCTGGTTAACTTGAGCTCAGCCAGTCCCCTTACCTTATGGAGAGAAGGGGTGTGGGAAAGTGGGAGGTGATATTCAGGTTCAGAAAGGCCTGTATGTGTGGTGGGGAGAAGAAAAGAAAAACCTGGGAAGCTGGATCTCGCCTCTGGCTCTTCTAGGCTGGGCCGGGGCAGGGGTGGGGTAGGTGGGTGGAGAGCTAGTGCATGTGCAACACACCGGGCCCTCGGCCCTCGTGGGGGGTAGGGGGAGGAAGGGGCTATTCACGCAGCAGCCACAGGTCAAAGAGCAAAGCAGTCACGGTGCCGTCTGCCCTCTGGTCTGGGACAGGGCCTGGATTGGGCCACTGGGCCCACACCCCAGCAAAGGGATAGGTCTTTGTCCCATTCTACCTGAAGGACCAATGAAGCTCTGGGGACAGACATAAGCCAGGCACTGAAGTGCTCTGGGTCAGTGACACAATGGGGTTATTAGAGACTAGCCATGAAATCCTAGACAGTTCAGGCAGCGGCAAATGGTTTCCCAGCCCTGAGCTCCACCCCCAGAGCCCAGGGTGGGACCTGAGTCTCGACTGGAATCTCACTGCCCACAGCGCCTTCAACAGGGGGCAGCACCAGTCCTAGAGATGGGTGGGGGCAGGGGGACTAAACCAAAAAAGTATCCTCCAAGGACCTCTTGGAAGCCTCACCAACTGGAGGAAAAAAGCTTCCAGTTTGCTCCACCCTCTCTGGCCTTGGCTGTCCCACCTCAGGGGAGAAGGCCTGAGCCCAGGCTGCAAGGGGGCCCCTCGCCCTCAGTTAGTTCGGACCCTGGAGCATTTCACTGGAGCTGGAGTCTGGGGCGCTCCGGCAGTGCACCCCCGCCCCTGCCCACCAGGCCCAGGCCAGGAGCACGACGGGGTCTGTGGGGCTGGGGCGGGGACCCGGCCTGGCAGGACCTCCTGCCATTGTCTCCTTCTGAGAAGCCATAGCTGCTTCCTCCTTTACTTGGAAAAGAGGTTTGCTGGTAGGGGTGGAGTTATGGCTAAGAAACCAAAACAGTTCAATGTGGATCACGCTGCCAGTGCTAGGTGCTGGGGAAAGGAGGTGGCAGCCATGGGGTGGTGGAAACACAACAGACCCAGAGTCTGAATCCAGAGTCTGAGTGCCCCTGGACACTTACTAACAGCAGGACTTTGGCTGTGTCACCTCATGTGAGCCTCAGTTTTGTCTTCTACAAAATGAGGCTAACGACACCCACCCCACGGGAGCTGTAAGGGTTCGAGTTAAAGCACCGCGAGGGTGTGCAGTTATCATTACTACTGCTACTGAGCGCCGTGATCCCTGACCTCGGGACAGAATGGGGAGGTGCCTGGGCCTCCCACGACTTCCCCCTAGAGGCCACGCTTCCTGTTCCTCCCCTGCTCCCAGAGAATGTGGTGTAACTGGCTGTTGGGGGACTGGGGTGTCCTCCCCTCCAGGCACAACAATTAGAAGGAGCAGAGCGGTAATTTGTGGTCATCAGGGAACAAGGTTCAAGACCAACAAGCAGGGCAGATGCAGATGGGAAGGAGGGGTGGAATCTGGTGAGGTCATCAGTAAACAGTCTACACAACAAATGGGAAGGCCTTCAGGGAGAGAAGAGAGGATGGAGGGCAGCCAGGTGCCCAGGGCACAAGTCAGGCCCTTCCTGGCCTGGGGAGCTCAGGGAGTCCAAAGGCAGCTGAGGGGCAGGGCCTCACCCCAGAACAACCCAGGCCCTCCCTGCACCTGCCATTCCCCAGAGCCGGCAGTCCAGCCTCAATAATGGGAGGATGGGAGCTGCCTCTTCATTCTCGGCCCCCAAGGCTGGAAGGTGAGGGGCAAGGAAGAGCAACAGGGGCTCCAGGCCTCTCTGAGGAGCTGGAGGGGACTCAAAAATTGGAACAAAAAGGCCAAAAGGTTTTTACTCTGTGAGCCCTGGGGAGGGCCGGGCAGAGTGCCAGGTGTCCACAGGAGGGGGTAAGCGGGGGTGGGATGGCCTGCAGTCCTGCTTCCCCGTTGGAGAGGAGTGAGGGGAGGTGAAGGCCGGGGTGCCCTCCCCACGGGCCCCACACCTGCCCCTGCTGAGTTCACACCAGAGTCCTCGGCAGGCGGGAAATCGCAGGGCCCCCCGGAAGCCGGGGTCAGGAGAGCCGCTGGGCGGAGGGAGGAGGCGAGTTCTTCCCCCCACCGTGTCTTTCCTGGTGGCAAGCCGGCCCGGCAGGGAGGACCTGGAGCAGGACAGCTGTCTGCCGGCCAGAGTGGGGTCCCAGATTCCTCAGCTTCAGGTCAGGGGTCTCGGTACAGGGGGCACTGGGTTAGCCTCAAAGCTCATCCGGAGGGCTGTGTGTGAGAGGGGACGCCTTCTGGATGCCCTCATCCTCATCGGGGCTGGGGTCTTCCTCCAGGCCACCTAGCTCCTTCCTCTGTTTGCTGCCGCCGCCCGATGCCTTGACCCTGCTGCTCTTCTTTTTAGATTTCTTCCCTCCCAGGGCGGCTGTGTCCCCCTTCTTGCCGGACCACTGCTCTGCCAGGCAACCTGGGGTGAGGAGAGACACCCGCAATGGACTGGTTTGCTGGGGGCAGAGCACTGACGGGGGCAGGAGGGGGGGCGTGCGGAAGCGACAACTGGAACTGGCGCCCCACGAGTCCCTGCCTCCTGCCTCACTGTAGTTCCCTTCGTGTGATTCTGCACCTGGTTTCGGTACCTCTTACTCCACCCTGTCCCCTCAAGCTCCCCAAGGGCAGAGCTGCTAGGACGTCTTCTATTTCTTATTTCTCTTCTGTCTTCTCCCAACCTACCTCCCCTGAGGGGGAGTGAGCGGTAGAACGGAGGGCCCACCCGCCCTGCCCTCGCCCTCCCTCCCACTCACTGGTGTCCTTGCCCTTCAGGACGTGATTGGCGCAGAGGAACTGAGTCAGGTCTTCCTCCTGGTGATGCCGGTACCAGTCCTCGATCACCTCCTCAAACTCTTCCACCAGCACGTCGCACTATGAATCACAACACGGCACGTTGGCAAAGCCCCAGCACTGACTCGCTCCCCGGGGCGGTGGGGGGGGAGGGGGCTCAGCCGAGTCTCACAACCCACTGCAGGACAGGCAGGTGGCTGTGATTCCCCTGAGGAAACTGAAGCCAGCGAGGTGAGACGACTTGACCAGAGCTCCCCCCCTCCCCCAGCTCTCGGTGGTCCTCCTCAGCCATAGACCCAGTCCCCAGCCGCCCCGGTGAGCAGGGCAGCCTCTGCGGGCTGAGAGGCCCGTACCTGCTTCTTGAGGTCAGCCACCTCTGCAGAGGTCTCGTTCCACAGCTCGTAGGGGATATCCATCACCACCTTGACCCCTTTGTGGACCAGGTTGTGCAGTGTCTCAAAGGTCTCCGACATGCCCTAGAAGAGGCAGCAGGGCCTGAGAGGCTGCGAGTGTCCACCAATTCCCACCCTCCTTTCTGGGTGGCGCTGGAGGCCCGAGGACCCAGCACTGAGGAGTCAGGACCCTCCAAGGCTTCTCACACTTGACCTCACCTTCCTCTCCCCTTTCAGGCCTGCCCCCACAACCCCTACATACAACACACACACCCTATCATTTCTCTCACACCTCAAGCTTTCAAAAAGGATTGCTGTTTGCCTTCAGGCCCTTTGAATGGAAACTCCTTTTCCAGGAATTAAGTGTGTCTTGGCTCTTTCCCCTCACTGTGGCCGGGAACACGTGCTCCCCCACGTCTAGACCCACTCCCCACTCCAGCTTCTTCCTGGGGCTTGTGTCTTTCCTGGGTCGGAAGGGAGCATAGGCGTGGCAGGGAGAACTCTTGGTTCTGTAAAAATATTTCTGCCAGCTCCCTAGGTCTTCTCCCTGGAGAGTCCATCTACACACTGTCCGTTTCCTCTTTCTTTCCAGAGGTGATGCGGGCAAATACAAGCAAATATACATACAAATATATCCTCCTCTCTTGCCCCCACTTCTTACACAAGTGGTAGTATATATCAGCCACACTATTCTGCCCTTTGCCTTTTTTACTGAATAACAGAACTTGGAGACAATTTGAATTCAATTCATAAAGAGCTACCTCATTCTTTGTTTTGTCCACTGAATGGCCGTATCAATTTATTTAGCCACTGGTGAATGATTAGATTGTTTCTAATTTTATTGCTATGGAAAATAGTTTTAAACATTTTTATATTAATGCAAAACATGGGTTTATTACTGAGTAGAATACAAAATGCATACAAATTTTAATTTTTAAATATTTTATTTATTTACTTATCAGAGCGAGAAAGAGCACAAGCAGGGGGAGCGGCAGACAGAGGGAGAAGCAGACTCCCGGCTGAGAGGGAGCCCGAAGCAGGGCTCAATCCCAGGACCCTGGGATCATGACCTGAGCCGAAGGCAGACACTTAACTGACTGAGCCACCCAGGCACCCCTTTATTTTATTATTTTATTTTATTTATTTTTTTTTCATTTTACATTATTTTATTTTTTTTATTTTTTTTTTAAATTTTTTTTTATTCTTATGTTAATTATTTTTTTTATTTTTTAAAGAGGCTCCACTCCCAGCTTGGAGCCCAATGCAGGGCTTGAGCTCACAACCCTGAGATCAAGATCTGAGCTGAGATCAAGAGTCAGATGCTTGGGGCAACTGGGTGGCACAGTCAGTTGGGCGTCTGACTCTTGGTTTCGGCTCAGATCGTGATCTCAGGGTTGTGAGATTGAGCTCTGCATGGAGCCCCGCATCAGGCTCTGCACTCAACACAGGGTGTGCTTGAGACTCTTTCTCCCTCTCCCTCCCTGCAGCACACACACGCTCGCGCTCTCTCTAATGAATAAATCTTTAAAAAAAAAAAAAAAAAGGGAGTCAGCCACTTAACCAGCTGAGCCACCCAGGCACCCCTAAATTTTAAATCTAAGACTTCTGCTATTTAAGACTATCCCTCTAAAGGGCGCCTGGGTGACTCAGACGGTTAAGCGTCTGCCTTCAGCTCAGGTCATGATCCCAGGGTCCTGGGATCGAGCCCCGCTTCGGGCTCCCTGCTCCGTGGGATGCCTGCTTCTCCCTCTCCCACTCCCCCTGCTTGTGTTCCCTCTCTCACTGTGACCTTCTCTGTCAAATAAATGAATAAAATCTTAAAAAAAAAAAAAAAAGACTATTCCTCTAGGTTCCCCAGGGGTTTCTGACTAATCAACTCCACTAGAAGGGTACTTAGGTGGAGAAATACGGGAGGCAAGTCTCTTACCATATGTGCCAGGCACTGAAGATGTTGAAGCAAAGAACTGTGGGCCTTGTGGTAAGAAGCTCATTCTTCAGGGACAGGGGCATTCGTGCACATAGTAAGTGCATTAAATATCACACAGGCACCCTGACAGAGGTCCAGGTGAGTGTCCTGTGGGCCCAGAGGGACTAGGTAATCACCCCACCCTGCTGTGTCTTCTGACATCTCCTCTAAACCCCACAGTTCTGCACTTCCTGAGCTCTCCCTGAACCAGTATTCAGGCCTCCACATGGGCATTTCGGGCTGAGGCTGAGGCAGGGCCCTGATGGCCCCGGTCACTAAGAATGTGCCTACTGGGGCGCCTGGGTGGCTCAGTCGTTAAGTGTTTGCCTTCGGCTCAGGTCATGATCCCAGAGTCCTGGGATCGAGCCCTGCATGGGGCTCCCTGCTCAGCAGGAGGTCTGCTTCTCCCTCTCCCTCTGTTTGTGTTCTCTCTCTCTAATAAATAAATAAATCAATCTAAAAAAAAAAAAAAAAAACTGTGCCTACTGCCACCAAAGAGCACGCTCAGGAGGTGAGAAATGCAAACCCTAATCGATGAAGAATGGGAAGAGGCCAAGGATGGAAGCTCCCCAAACATGATCTTCGAGCCACACCCACACCAGCAGACCCCTTAGACACATGCAGGCCTTGCCCCATGGGGATGAAGGACAAGCACAAATCCAACCTTGGCAAACCGGTTGCTGCCGGTCCTCTCCTTGTGCAGGCTATAGTCCAGGAGCCTCTTGCAGATGGTCTCAGTGACTTCGATTAACCTTAAGTCCCTGCAGAGACAGCAGCACGAGAGGGACTGAGCTCCTCTCCCAGCCCCAGGGGGTTAGCGGTCCGTCCCTCCAGCCCTGCTACCCCAACACCTGCGCATCTCACCAAAGGGAAGTCAGAGCTGGAAGGAAGATAGGTCATCTGGTCTGGGGGCTCTGAAATGCTGGAACACAGACCAGAGAGACAAAATGTAACAGCTCTATGGGAAGGCATCTTTTATAAAGCTAAATGATTCAGTATTTAGATGTTTTCCTACGGCAAAATGTATTAAATTTTGATGTCAAAACATTTCATTTTGAAAGGATGATCATGGCTGATGAAGGGTTTTTTTGGCTTGTTTTTAATATTTATTCCTGGTAATATTAAAAGCAGGTAATCCTATGTTATCAATTTAAAAAAAAAAATTGCATTGGCTCATGAAATCCAAGAATCTGGGATGAGATACGGTCGAACCGACTTGCTTTGACAGATAAGTCTGAGGCTCAGTGGAATGAAGGGATTTATGAAGACCACACAATTAGTTGGGGCAAAACCAGCGGGCAAACTCAGGTATTGGTGAGAACCGCCTCCCTTTGGTGGGTTTGCCTAGCTGGAAGGGAGAGGGAACCCCAAGCCTCCGAAGCCTCTAGGAACAAAGCAGGCCAGGCCAGTGGGTACCCCCCTTCACTTACGACTTGGTGTACTTGACTCCGGAAGCCTTCCGATCCAGGATGCCATAGCCTGTGTCAATCACCTCTTTGGTCTTGCCAGTCTCCTCAAAAGCTGACTTCAGCTCCACGGCGACATATTTACACACTGGGGGCGGGAGACACGGCACAGCCTACTGAGCGCCTAGGAGTCTGTCAGGAAGGAGCCAGCTCCCAGCCAAATGCACCAAGGTAGGTGCCTCTCCCAGACTGGGTCAACACTCAGGGCAGGGAAGGACTTAGCCCCAGACCACCACATGGAGGTCACTGGGTGAAACTTGGCTCCAAGATTCGTTGCCCCCTGTCCAGTCCTGGCCCTTATCCTACTGACTCCATTTCTCCCAGCTCCTTCCTGCCTCTCCCCACCGCCCCCTGTAATCATTTTAAAATTTCAAACATATAGAAAAGCTGAATGAGTACAATGAGTAACTATACAGCTTCCACTCATTTCAACAGTTTGTTAATAATCTGCCACAATCTCACTCCAGTATAATAATATAAAATAATAGGATAATATAGTAATATATCTCAACAATATATACATTGTTTTTGCTAAACCATTTTGAAAGTAAGTTGCAGACATCATGATCTTTCACCCCTCAAAAGGTCCTCATGCATCTCTGAGAACCAGGACTTTCTTCTACCAACCATAAAACCATACCGATCCTTGGAAAATGAAAAATAATTCCAATATCACCTAATACTCACTCCATATTCAAATTTTCCCAGTTGTCCCCAAAGGTCTTGTCTGCCTGTTTTATGACCTGATTTCATATGCTGTTCCAACACCAGCTCTCTGCTCCTACCAAGGTCATCTGCTCCATCCCCTCCAGAGGCCCTTGTTCCTACCGGCTCTGTACATTCATCTTCTCGTTTTCTCTTACTCTTCCTCAAACAGTTACTAAGCAATCCTGTGTGCCAGGCACTGTCTGGGGATTCACAGCTGAAAACAGATTCCTCTGTTCTACATCCAGCCCAATGGAGTAATTGCCGCTGTGCAAGGAGTGTTCACACAGAAAGTGTGACCTGTCCGAGGCCCTGGGAGAGCGCTTAATGCCTTCTATGGGCTTTTCTACCCATTCTCCCAACCTCACTTTATCATTATTATTATTTTTTAAAGATTTTATGTATTGGAGAGAGAGCGAGAGACAGAGAGACAGAACATGTGCAGCGGGACAGGCAGAGGGAGAGGCAGAGAATCTCAAGCAGACTCCTGGCTGAGTGCAGAGCCCGATGAGGGGCTCGATGCAGAGCTTGGGGCTTGATCTCATGACTTGGGGATCGGGACCTGAGCTGAAACCAAGAGTCGGCCGCTTAACTGACTAAACCACCCAGGTGCCCCACAACCTCACTTTAAAAGCCTCCTCCTCCTGGAAAGCTCTTCTGGATCCATCCCACCTGCTCTGATTTCATCTGGGTCTCTCTCTATAGGATCCATGTTCGAAGAGCTTTTGGTCACTTTGTGGCTCCCCAACTATAACTACAATAATACCCAAAGTGAGTATCATGTATTGGACTTTTTCTGTATTCCTCTAGTCTGGGATTCTGTCTGTGTTGTATACTTAATAAATACTGCTGAGAGACTGTGGTTGTGATAGAGCAGCTTCTGATGCCTCTGAACGAATATGATCTGTAGGCCAAGTGCCATTAGTATTATTACAACACTGACAGCAGAGTTTAGTAGGCCAATTCACCACACACACACAAAAAAAACAAACCATCCCCTGAAGGCTTGCTTGGTAAAATTTTATAACATACATATTTAATAGATGGCTTGGAGAACTTGGAATACATTAAAATTCCAAAATATAAGCTGTGATCTCAGAGTCTGCAATGAATTGAGGCGGCTCACCTCCCTGGCTCTCTAGCCAGCAACACCTGTCCCCCTCCCCCTCTCTGTTCTACATTCTGTGTGAGCTCATCATTTTTCTGGCTCTTTCGCCCCCTTCTCCCACGCCCTCAATGTGTAGGATTCCAGGCCCTGGGGAGCTGAAACCTTTCTCTCTTGTGCCCATCAATCACAACCTTGCTTCCCAACTCTTCCAAACCCTACCTCTTCAAGACCCCCTCTGGGGATCCCATCCAGAACTAGACTTGTAGGAGACTCATGGCACAGACCCCAGACTCTCATGGACACCCACCTACTCTTTTTCCTGGCAGGTTCTCCTTTCTCTGTGCCAAGGCCTATTCCACTCAGACTATGGAGCCAGGAGGCAGGCTTTGTGGGCCATACACAGTCAGCATTTAATAACAAAGGTGCAACAATGATAAATAAAAGCAAAAGCCCTATTAAGAGGAGCCTAGGGCGCCTGGGTGGCTCAGTTGGTTAAGCGACTGCCTTCGGCTCAGGTCATGATCCTGGAGTTCCGGGATCGAGTCCCACATCGGGCTCCCTGCTCAGCAGGGAGTCTGCTTCTCCCTCTAACCCTCCTCCCTCTCATGCTCTCTGTCTCTCATTCTCTCTCTCGCAAATAAATAAAATCTTAAAAAAAAAAAAAAAAAAAGAGGAGCCTAAGACTTTACCAAGCCATCCTGTAATTGAAAATCCCTTTTAAATTAGTCTTTATCCATTAACTACAAAATGAGGCTGGACTAGAATGATCGCTAAGATCTTTGCAAGCTCTATGCTTCTGAGTCTGTGAATGCCTCCTAAGGGAAAGAAATGTGAGGTTCTCAGGCTATGAGAATAGTCCCTTCTTAGGGGCTAAGATAGAAAACAAAGAGAGGAAGTGAAACCCCAAACCATACCATCTAGGTTAGGACTAGAGCAAGAGTGAAAGGGGCTTCCCCCCTCTCTGGGGCATCCCAACTCTCTGCCTGCCTATTTATGGGAGTGAGGGACAGGCTAGAACCCATACTGAGAGCCCTCCCAGTGAAGTCGGCTCATCTCTGAAGCATCTCATCTTTCACCTCTCAAATGAAAGGATTATGTGTCCCAATCCACCCCACCCCCACTTCCCAGTGCTTAGGGAACATTTGGCCTGCTGTATGCTTTGAATGGGGATGAAATGGATATATAGCCAACTTTTGGAGGGGTTTGGGGGTATGGAGATGGCAAGGAAGGAGTGATTGCGAAGGTCTGGGGAGAAATTAGAAATAATGGGGGTGGGGGTGGAGAAAAGGTAGGCCCTTCATAGTCCTGGATCACTGGCTTGGGTGCTGGTGCTCTTTCTCTCAAGTTTTACACCTCCATCCCTATATCTTTGGGATTCACTTTCTCCTTATTCCTAAAGTCCTCCTCCCTCACCAAATTCTCCCAGGCCAGATCTACTCTTCTCCCAAAGTGGCCCTCTATTCTTCTCCCCATAGGCCTCAGACCCTTCTCATTCCTCCACACACACCCAAATCCCCCATTTATTTGTATTTATCCCAAAAATATTCACTGGGTGCCCACCAGGCACTGTATGAATAAATATCTGAGACAAGGTCCCTGTCCTCAAGGAGTTTAACGCTAGTGAGGGAGTCTATCAATTACACAGATCAGCTTGTGGTGAGGGCACAAAGGGGAGAGTTTCAGGCTTTCCTACCCTAAGAACAGTCATAAGGACCTTTTCAGTTCCTCAAACTTGTCCTTTGCTTCTTAGCCTCTGCATCTGCGGTTTCCTGAGAGACTCTCTCTTTTCACGTCTCTTCGCCCAGCTAACTCCTAATTACTGCTTGGGCTTCCTATACGAATTCCTGACTTCCCTCTCCACACAGCCTTTCCCCCCCATCTCCAGGCTAGATTAGATGCTCCTTCCCCGGCCCGCAAAGCCGGTACCTACTCTATCATGCATCTACCACCCTGGATTATAACTGCTTCTTTTGTACCGACTTGAGAGCTCCTGGTGCACCGAGACCTGATCTCTTGCCCGGCCCTGTGTCCCCAGCGTCCAGCACAGTGCCAGGCACACAGTAGCTTCAATGAATGAAGAGGTTCCAGCTCAGGTGCCAAGGACCTTCCATCCCCCGCCCCTACCCCGCACGCCCCGCCCCTCTGGCAGGATACTCCCCGCGGGCCCCGCCCCCTCACCTTCGCATTTGCTGGGGAGTCGAACCCAGTCAGTCTCCTCCGCGTGCGCCTGGCCGGGGCCCAGCTCTGGGGCCGGCAGTAGCAGCAGCAGCAACAGTAGCAGGGAGAGAAGCAGAAGACAGCGCGGCCCAGGCCGGGGCGCGGGCTCAGGCAATGGCTCCATGGCCCAGCCGGACCCGACCCCAGCGTACCCGGTGGCGATTCCTCCGGTTGCGCGCGCTGGGCAGCTTCCCGGAGCCGCTTCCGGGACTGCACACGTGCCTCGGCGTAACCAGGGCAACAGGGAGCCCCCCGCCCGGTCCCTCCTCCGGCCACCTCGGCCCGCCCTCAGAGCCCACGAAGGCCCGCGGACAACGCAGCCAATGGGCTTTCCGGGGCTTGCCCTCCAGCCAATGGGAGGGCGAGCTTTTCTCAGTCTTGACCAATGAGAGCGCGGATGGTGTCCTCAGTGACCTATGGCAGCATTTTCCCCCACCCACTAACGGAGGCTCTGGGAGGGTCTGGAGGACCAGGACGCGGAGCAGGGAAGCAGCCGGCTCGGCCTGAATGGGAGGAGGTCGGGCTCGTTGGGTCCTGGTAGAGGTGCGGAAGGCCGTCTTCTCGGCCTTCTCCGCCTCCTTGCGCGTCACTTCCCTGCTGGGGTCGTAATGCAGCAAACCCTTATTGAGCACCTGTTTTTAAATTTTGTTATTATTATCGTTGTTGTTATTGTTGTAATTGCTAATCACTAGTAGGCGCTGTGGGTGAGACCTTGGCGACTCAAACAGTCCCCAGCCTTCAAACAACTTTCTTAGTGCCAAGTAATCATATATTGGGCCCCTGAGAACCAGAACAAATCACCTCCTCTCTGAGCCTCGGTTTTTCCTTCCTTCCTTCCTTCCTTCCTTCCTTCCTTCCTTCCTTCCTTCCTTCCTTCCTTCCTTCCTCCCTCCCTCCCTCCCTCCCTCCCTCCCTCCCTTCCTTCCTTCCTCCCTTCTTCTTTTCTGCCCTATTACTGATTTCTTTGGATTCTGAGCTCCCACAAAGCAGGGATTTGGCTATGAACGATTGTATTTCCCTTCCACCTCCCCAGCAATACAGGGTGCCTGGTACAAGGAGATGATCAATTGGACCCCCATCTGCTGTGTCATCAAGAGGAGGACTTTCTGGGTCTTTGGGGCTGCTTCAGACTGCCCCTGAGCTCAGTGTCCTATGGACACACACACCCCAAGTTTGCTTTCCTGGGAAGTTGTCTGCACTTTCGTCCCCAAGGCCCTGTTCCCCAGTGCCTTATGTTTCCTTCCTGGAGGTTGGATATTTATGCTATTTTATGAAGACTTCGGGAGGACTGATGCTCAGCCTTTTGACTTATTATTTCTTGATCTTAGCTTCTTGCTCAAAACAATTGTGCCAATGACAAAGCATTTTGGATATGCAGGGGTTGTGGTATGTAGAATTCTATAGTGCACAGGATCAGGACACCCTTCTGAGGGCCTCCATCTTCTATAGGCTTCATAAGACTTGGGGAGACTCAGAGCCTGGCCAAAGCCCTTGATTTACCTAGGCCCAGGAATCCTCCTGGGAGATAACTTGAAGCCAACCACAGTAGGGACTGAGCCTGGGGCAGGGCAGGACTGGGGAGTTGGAACATGAGGAGGAGGGATGGTGAAGCTAAAGGAAACTCTGCTTCCAGAATGACTAAAAGGACCTCTGAGAGGACATTTACTGAGGCACAAATTAGTTTCGCAGGAGCTCTAGACTCAGCATCTGGGCTGAGGGCTGGGAAGAGACAGTGGCCAGAGAAAATCTGAGGTTATGGCTGGACATGCCTGCACCCCAACCCAGCCTATCCTTCCCTCAGTCTGTGTGCTGCGGAAGGAGCAGGCCATGTGGGGATGGTGGTCTGATTCACCCCCAGGAGTTGTGGGATGCCCCTCCTTGAAGAATCTAAAAAGAGGCAGGAGCATCTCCTGATCGGCTAGTGAGAGATGGCTGTGGAGAAGACAGGGAGGGTTTTCATGGAACAGCAGCTGAGAGGGCACAGAGGCTCAGGGCAGCTGGAGATGGCATTGCCACCATGAGTGGGTGGGATGTTAGAGCATAGGTCGCTAACACCACCTTGGGGGAAGGAGACTAAGGTAGCACCACTGGTCCAGCAGACTGTCCTGTGCTGCCCAGGGGACACCTGGATTCACATGAAAGCACCCGAGATTCCTGGGGGTGATTACTGGAGAGAGGAACTCCTGGAAAGGCTGGATCTCCTGCCAATGCTGGAGAAACGGGCCACACACTCTACTGTGGGGGACTTATATGCTATCAGCGCAAGAGCTCTCTTTAGGAAACAAAAGAGGGGCGCCTGGGTGGCTCAGTCGGTTAAGCGTCTGCCTTCGGCTCAGGTCATGATCCAGGGGTCCTGGGATTGAGCCCCACATCAGGCTCCCTGCTCCATGGGAAGCCTGCTTCTCCCTCTCCCTCTGCCTGCTGCTCCCCCTGCTTGTGTGCTCTCTCTCTGTCAAATAAATAAATAAAATCTTAAAAAAAAAAAAAAAGAAAGAAAACAAAGAATCTCGTTAGTGCCTGGTTCAGGGTTGATGCTCAATGAATATTTGTTAAATGAATAATGACCCCTAATTGCTTAATAAGGTGTAGGTTTGGAATTAACATCCATACTCTTGGCATTGTACGTGATCCTGTTACCCTGGGATCCTGGCCCCCGTTCATTTCTGTCAAGTCTGTACAAAGCTTCACATCGGGCCCAGCACCCCACCTTCCTGGCTTCCAGGGCTCCTCATCCTGACCTCTGGCAGAAACTGGGCCAAGGTGAGGAGCCGGGGAGGGCGGGCTCTTCTCATGCCTGGCTGTGGGAGAGGGAGACAGAGGTAGGACAGCGTCCTCCCCAAACTCCAGGATCACTCTGCAGTTCCGAGTCTCACCCGCAGGAACCTCTTCCTCAAGGGAGCCCTCCAGGATTTCTGCCTTTTCAAAATCTGCCAAATTCCCTCCTCCCAGGGCAGACATGAATTCCAGTGTTTCATTTGCGTCATTTAAGTTCTCCTTTAATTGTTCTCAGTTCTCTGCATCTCAAATGTCCCAGTACCCGTGGCACACCACCCTCCTCCCTCAGAAGGCCTCAGTCCGAGGCGGGAGACAGAGCCCAGCACCAGAAACTTCCATCTGCGGGAGGAGGCACGTCACACACAAATACCGCAAGGCTTAAGGAAGGAATACGGGGGGGCTCATGAGCACCAGGCCCAAGCTCGGTGGGTAGAGAGCGTCCCCTCCTCCCGGACTGGGCTCCGGGGCTCCTGGCCCGCGGCCCCCCCGGCTCGGCCGCCAAGCCGGGCGGCGGGGGCTGCGGGAGCCGGCGGTGGGGCTGCGGGCCCGTGCGGGGCGCGGGAGCCCGGGGTCCCCCCGCGCGCACGGCGCGGCGCGGAGCCGGCTGCAGGTCAGGAGCACGTCCAACAGCAGCAGCTTGAAGAGCAGCAGCCGCAACGCCCCCAGCCGCAGCGCCTGGCCCCGCATCCCTGCGAGAGGAAGACGAGCCGTCAGGGGCGTGGAGGCCGGCTTCAACCCCTCCCGCTCGAGAAGGTTCTCCGGGGAGTAGGGGCCTTGTCCTCCGCCCGCGCAGGTCCTCCTCCCCGCCGTGCCCCGGAGCCGAGGGAAGTCCTCCCTGGTGTCTACCCTCAGCTCTACCTGATAGTAATAACACATACCTTCCTAGCCTTCATTTTATTTTATTCCCCCCAAACCAGGGGGGTGCAGGCCAAGCAGAAAGTAGCATCTGGCGCAGAGAGTAAGCAGCCCCATATTCTCTGCGTGGTGAGGAAGTAGAACCCGACTAGGACTCTGTCTGTCCGGTGGGTGGTGGGACTGTCCACCACCCAGACAGTCTCCCAAGGCTCTGACGTTGACACCACCCATCTGGGCTGCCCAAGGAGAGCTTCATGGAACCTTCTGTTAGCTGTCACCTACACTTTTCAACTAGTGTCCAGGAATTAGTCTGGGGTCAGAGGATCCACTCTCATTTATCCATGGGTAGACTGAAGGCCAGGCTTGTCAGTGCCCCAACCCAGCAAGGCAGCCTCTTCAGGGAACACCCACCAAGGCCCCCCACCCCAACAAACACACGCCAGTGGGACCATCAGGCCAGACCCAAACGGGGCTCAAGATCCCGGTCCCCAATACTCACCCCTGAGACGCTCCCAGAGGCAGGTCCTGGCTGAGGAAGCCTCTCCTGCAGCCAAGGAGAAGGGAATGAGTCTTTCGGGATGGGCTCTGCGCTCCACCCAAGCTCTGCGCCCCAGGCCTGGCACAGGGCAGCTGTGCATGGCAAGTTGCATAAATGGACAGACAAACCAGCAGCGGGAAACATGAGCCCATTTGCTACGATTCCTCTCAGGGACTCAGATCTTTCTCAGTCCCCACTGTCCACTATTCTGTGCCCCCGGGGGAGGCTGAGGTCTCTCGGCACTTTTAGACGAGGACTTGGATTTTCTTAGCAGCCTTCTTTGAAAGACAGGGCATTTATTCAACAAACATTCCCATTTGGAAGATACCAAAGCTACCATAATCCAAAAACAGGAAGTAAGTCATCTAGTAATAATAATAACAGGCTTTGGACGTGTCCCCTAAACATCTCTGTGCCTGTAAATTTGGGAAAATAATATGACCTCCTTCATGAACGTAAGGTGTCTCGAACAATGCCCGGCACAGTGTGAACAATAAGTAGATGATAGCATTTTGTTATTTGATTGTCATTTGGTTCATTCTACCATAGATAGGGTGATATAGATATTAACCTTAGGTACATAAATCTAGATATCAACCCTAGGTAATAGGAGGGAGGCGGTGTTATTACCTTTTGGAAGTCATGCATCAGAGCCTGGATTTGAAGGAGATATTTGAAGGCTGGATATTTGAAGGAGTTGCAAATCCAGGACTCAAGGCCCTGAGGCCACCCTGCTCTGAGCCCAGGCATCACCTCATTCAGATGGTTGGCACAGGGACACCCTCCATGCCCCCACGGGAGCCTGCCCTGTCTCCCACCATAGGCTGTTTCCAGAGTGTGTGGGAGGGGCAGGGAGCATCCACAGGGGCCCAGGCTCCGTCCCCACCTGACAGCTGTAGGGGCCGTGTGCTCTGGCTGCGGTCGCCGGCCTCAGGCCCAGTGTGGCAGACCAAGTTTTCCCAGGCTGCCAGCTGATCAGAGGGCAGAGAGAGCTGAGCCAAGCTAGTCCAGGTGCCGTCAGCCTCTGGGGAAGGGCCGTAGGTGAAGGCGTCCAGTGAGCTGCCATTGCCCGCTGAGAACCAGATGGGGCTCTCAAGGCCAGGGGGTGCGACAT